GGGTGGGAGGGCGGGCATTTGTGAGCCTCTGTGCTTTCAGGGCTGAACTCAGGAACGGGAGCCCTCTTTGGGCTGGACGTGGAAACTGGGGTGACAAAGGGCTCTGAGGAAGGCGGGAGGAGAGGGAGCAGGTCAGCCTCCCAGTCTATCAGATCCTCCTCCACTGTCCCTATACCCAGGTCCATACATAGCTCACCCTCAGCCATGCTGCAGTGGGCGGAGCTCCTCTCTGCGTTCTTACTGGCCACTGCATTTTCCCCCGTGGCGGGCGTAGTTGCCGGCTCACACACCTTGACTGACGACGGTGAACAGGGATCCATGTCTCGGCAGTGTCCACTACACAAAGGCAGCAATACTCGCTCGAGGACCTTCCTCGGACGACGGCGCTCTGTATGCCAAGTTTAGACTTGCATCGTCCAGGTAGCTGGAGAGGTTGGTGAGGACCAGGAACAGTCTGGTGTGGTCCTCAAGCGATCTTTCCCCCTGCTCCAGCAGGAGGAGGAGGTATTCGGGATGAAGGAGGGATCCATGAAGGGAACACTATGGAAACAAAACACTGAGCAAAAAAAGAAACAAAAACGGAGGGAACACACGGAGGTAACTGTGTGTGTCGGGTCTTCTGTCACGGTTCGCTGCCGGAAGGAACGCAGGAGACGCGGAGAAGCATTAAACAGTCTTTTAATGATCAGACACAGGAGTAAATCCACAACGGGAAGGGAGAATGACACTCGAACATCACCAGACAAACAAGGAATGCACAGACAGGAACTCTTTTACATGACATAACAAGGGAATTGGCAGGAATACAGGTGCACAGCATTACTAATTAGACACGGGAGGAACTGGGTCACGGAGCACATGGGGAGGGAAAACACACACACAACAGTCCAAGGGCGTGACATTACTCCCCCCTCTCGGAAGGCGTGTCCCACGCCGTAACAATTCCACCGGGAGGATCCGGAGGGCCAAGGCGGAGCAGATGGCGCTGGCGACCGACGCGGAGATGTGGATCCGGGAGGCCGTGGTGGAGCTGGAGCGACAGAGGACTGAGGTGGAGCCGAGGGGATGAAGGAGCCTGACGTAGCCGGATGGGCCGAGGCGAAGCCAGAGGAGTGGAGTCCCGAGGCGCAGGATGGTTTCCCCCGTGGCGGGCGTAGTTGCCGGCTCACACACCTTGACTGACGACGGTGAACAGGGATCCATGTCTCGGCAGTGTCCACTACACAAAGGCAGCAATACTCGCTCGAGGACCTTCCTCGGACGACGGCGCTCTGTATGCCAAGTTTAGACTTGCATCGTCCAGGTAGCTGGAGAGGTTGGTGAGGACCAGGAACAGTCTGGTGTGGTCCTCAAGCGATCTTTCCCCCTGCTCCAGCAGGAGGAGGAGGTATTCGGGATGAAGGAGGGATCCATGAAGGGAACACTATGGAAACAAAACACTGAGCAAAAAAAGAAACAAAAACGGAGGGAACACACGGAGGTAACTGTGTGTGTCGGGTCTTCTGTCACGGTTCGCTGCCGGAAGGAACGCAGGAGACGCGGAGAAGCATTAAACAGTCTTTTAATGAATTCCACAACAGGAACAAGGAATGACACATGAACATAACTTGTAGACCCAACAGGGGAGAAATGCACAGACAAGAACTTAAATGCAAGGGATAATTAGCAGGGGAGGGAAAACACACACACAACATTCCAAGGGCGTGACACTAAGGGCCTGTTTACACCTGGTCATTTCATGCGTTTTCGCTGATCGGATATCTATCGGATTTCTTCAAACGTTTCCATTTACACTTGGTCACATAAATGTGTCATCGCAAAACGGATTTAAATCCGATCTTCAATTCCCGCGCTATATTTAAATTTAACGGAGTTCACGTGAACGAAATCAAAAGATAAGCGCTGCATTTTATTCATTATCAGCTCATTTCAAGATCAAAGACCGCAATAGGAGAGCGAGCGGCATCAGAACTGGAAAGATAGGTTAGTCACACTAGATGCGTGTTGCATTAGCGCAGTCATATCTGACTATAATGTCATGTAGCCTATAACAGCTCTCACACGGTTATTATTTTTAAAATTTACATATGTGGTTTCAACAACAAGATGCATTTACACTTGTCCATTTTCGTCTGGAATGCGGCCCAGACCACCTCCTGAAGTGGTTTGAGCGATCGGATTTATATCAGTCTCGAATGCGTTTCGCAGGGCATTTACACCTGGTCTTTTCACGATCGGATAGCTATCCTATCAGACAAATCACATGAAGTGACCAGGTGTAAACAGCCCCTAAGTTACAAGTTTAGATCAGCTAGAAACAGCTACTAGTACCAACCAACATGGCTTTCAAAATATAACTTGTCATATGTTTATACTCAAATATAATCTTTCGCAGGCACATTAAAAACAATATAGGCTATTGCCGAAGGCTCTGATATAGAGAGGAAATGTCCCTGTGTTTGTTTTGGCTCAAAGTATTATTAGTATTATTAGTATTTTGATTAGTATTACGTCTTTAATAGATTTTTCCGTACATTTCTGCCATATGTACACTAACTGACAGTCACCACTGATAAGCTACCACTAAATATTGTAGAAACTTAATTTGCTGTGAAGTTGCTTTGCAACGATTTGTATCGTGAAAAGCGCTATACAAATAAACTTGAATTGAATTGAATATTATTAAGCTGTCAGATATGGTTGTTTTCCTGTATTTGTCTAGTAGTGTTACATAGGAATTTATGGGTATTTCTTTTGCATGTTTGATTACAGTTAGTGCTGAAGACAGTTTAGCTGAAAATACGACAACTGTTCAGCTGGTTAATCCAGAAGATCATCATGAGAAACCCAGAAAAGGTATAGTTTTCAGAGATCATCTAAATAGTCTTACACTGGACATGAAGTAATGACCAGAGTATGAAGAAATCCCCCCCCACCCAAAAAAGCAACAAAAATTTATATTTAAACATTACATTTATGAATATTACCATGAACTACATAGACCCAAACAATATACAAAATGTATTTATTTAAACAGAAAAAGACTTTAAATTACTGTAAATATATATATATACTGTATATATATATATAAATTGGTTATTTGTAAGTTACCATATAAACAGTATGTCAATCATTGTCATGCATTATATGTACTTTTACTGTAAAATACTGTTAAAAATGTATTTTTTTGCACATAAAATCTATGAAGTACTTTATAATTTACATGAAAAACAGTAAAAGAACATTCCCAGAAGTCACTGCAGTATCAAATGATTGTATTTTATATAAATAATTTAGTTTTAATACACTATGTACATTAGGGCATTTTGTGTTACATTTTCTGATATTTAGTTAATGTTTATTGCATTATTTTTGTGTCATGTATGTTGTTACCCTGATGGTGTGGTCTTTGATGGTTTTACCTTCTGTATGGTGTTTATCGGTACATTTTATGGTTAAAAATCAGGTTTTGGTACATAATAACAGGATAACTCTTAATGAAATATCCAGTTTTAAGTTGTAAAATACACAGGTACCAATATGCAAAATATGCTGCTCCTAGAGCTCTTACTGTAAAGAAAATGGCCCAATGTGTTGTCTTTGGCTGAGACTAACTTAAGGCCTTATCAAGGCAAATGTGTCGCATTCGCCTTTCCTTATCTGGCAATGTTATGAGAGCTATCACTGATGGTTGTGTGTTTGGTTACAGCCCCCGCTGGACGCAGTTTTGCTGTTCAGCGTGACTATGAAACCCAGACGGATGAGCCGATTGACTACAATATGGATGAGACATTGCCCAACTCTTCTTTAATGCCAAATAAAACTCGTAAAGGTATGTACAATATCCAGCAAACAGACTGCTAACAGTAATTATACAATAAATGAAATGGCCTTGTGTTTGTGGCTTTAGTTAGGCCCGTTCACACCAAGAACAATAACGATAAGAGTTAAAACTCATTCTAATTCTATGAGAATAAAATTCACACTATACCAATAACAGCACATAGGAAGGATATCAATACTTTCAGAACGATTTCTTCCAGCTGATATATTTAATATTGACAGCCAGTTAAGAGTCCTGCTTTAATGAGCTTGAGCATTTAAAGTGGCAGACAACAAAAATGATGCATGCATTTATAATAAACACTCTGTTAGTGTAAATGATAGTTATCATTCTTGGTGTGAATGTCTTAAACATCTTCATCGAGGCCTCTCAGTCATATGTCTAGAGTTGTTATGAGAGGTGTCATTGATGCTGTTGTGTTTTTGTATGTCGGGTTATAGAGTTACGCCAACAAGCATCCCAATCTAATAAAGGAGCACATCCATGTAACATCACTGATCCGAATGCAGCAAGATGCACAATCCCGATACTCAAGATCTCAGACAAGGCTGTTGACTTCCTTAAAAGCCCACTGGCCACACGCATCATGCCCTCATTCTACATCATCATCATCCTCATTAGTTTGCCCCTGAATGCTTTGACCTTGGTAACATTCACCTGTAGGATTCGAGCGAAGAAACCAGCTGTGATCTACATGTCTCACCTGGCGTGTGTGGACCTGCTCTTCACCCTGCTGCTGCCTCTGAAGATCCACTACCAGCTGAACGCTTCAGATTGGGTGTTCGGTGAGGCGGTGTGTTGTGTGCTCAGTGCAGCTTACTACTGCTACATGTACTGCTCCATACTGCTGATGATGAGCATGAGTGTGGACAGGCTGCTGGCTGTAGTGTTTCCCATCGCCTCTCTGACCTGGAGGAGCACAAGGAAAGCCACATGTGTGTGTGTGCTGGTCTGGCTGCTGGCGCTCGCTGGTACAGTGCCACTTCTCTCCATAACACAAACATTCAAGATAAAGGATGTGGGCATCACCTGCCATGATGCATTGATCCACAATGACCATACAGATCAGCAGTACATGTACCAGTTCTCCATCCTCTCCTGTGTCTACTACTTTGTGCCACTTATTGTCACCTTAGTGAGCTACTCCACCATCATATTTGTGCTCCGAATCAAGTCTAATCAATTTGCGACATCATCATCGCTATCAGAAAAGCGAAGTAGAGCTGCGATTATGGCTATTGCTGTGCTGATGGTGTTTGTGGTGTGCTTCGCACCAACCAATGGCATCCTGTTGTACCACTGTTTTCTTTTAGCTACTGGATTCAACAGCGGTGAGGGAGATTTATCATATGCAGCTTACCTGTTGGCTGTGTGTTTGGGGAGCGCAAGTGTTTTTCTGGACCCTCTTCTGTACTATTACGGCTCGTCTCAATGCAGACAGAAGATCAGCTCTGTGTTTTGGTGGAGATGGGGAAAAAGCACCTTATCAAATTCAAACAGTCAGACAAAATCCTCTTATGTAAGTTGTGAGTACAGTCAGGCACGCATTAAGATGTGAATTGTTTCGAAAAAGAGCTGATGAAATTTTCTGATATTGTGCTATTGACAGAAGATTGAATTCAAAGTCTGGCCACAAATCCTGATTCATGCTAAAGCAGGATATATATCCCTTCCATGCTGTTATTTTAAAAAATCCAGCATGTTACTAGGTCAAATTGACCCAACCTATTCACTGCTCAAGAGACTCCATTTCCTGTTTGTGACTGAGCATGTGTAAGAAACACAGTGTTACTGAAAGCATTTTACATCGCCATGTTCAGATCACATTTCTAGAGAATGTCATGCAATTTCAGGCTGAAAAATTGAAAGTTAAGTGGCAGTAAATCTGTCTAAAAGAGGACAGAATATTGTATAGAAGAAACTTAAAACATTCTATTTTTGAAACATTTACTTGATACACTTTCATTCAATTTTGATTGCAAGACAATTACAAAATTACACAAATATTTGTACAAAACAGATAATAAAACAGATCATGTTGTTATCTTTATATTTTCTGAAATATTAATTAGCACAATCAGCATTTTCTAAAAATTAAGCACCTACTTTCAGTAAATATTTGTTTAGAAATATTTCAAAAAACATTTCAGGCTCTATTTTGTGACGTATTTGTGAAAAGAGCCAGCAGTCAAAATACAACAAATATAAAAAGCAGTCAATCCAAGTGTATGGGTGAAACAAAAAACATGATATTGACTATTTTGTAATTCTGAAGGCAAACAGTTCAGCTGCAGTCACTGTAATTCATTATATAGACACATTATCTGTATATATAATCAGACTTTTTCCATCTCTGTCTTTTGCTGTACAGGTACACTCCACTATATTAAATTGCCGGTTTTAACCGACAGCTTGAATGTGTAAATATCTCTACATATAAGATGATGTGATACATACATGTGCACATGGATGATATACTGTATTTAAATAATTTGTGCACATTTTCTTATACTATTATATTTTAATAACTGAACTGAACTTATATATTTGCTAGTTGTCAAACAAGCCTATTTTCTCAAACTTTTAAGTTCTGGTCTTCGCTATATCATATTGTATCACTAAAGTACCTACTATATATCTTACTTTTCTCAGGTCCCAGTGACAACAGTGAAATGCTGAAATCTTGTCTTACACTAAAAAAATGGTGCTATATAGCACTAAAAGCGGTTCTTTGGCTTGTAATCATAGGGGAACCACTTTTAGTGCTATTTAGCACCTATTTTTACAGGTACTATATAGCACCTTTGTCAAATGGTGCCATGTAGAACCATAAGAGGTGCCATATAGCACTTTTTCTCAACAATGGTGCACCAATCATAACTCATCCATGGCTCCCAGCATGCATTGCGACATGAATAAATGATGCAGCTGCATTGTCTTAGTATTTTCTTTTATTCTTACTATTTGCTTTTATTTTTGTTGTGACTTTTTACTGCCCTGTTGCGTGATGTTCAAAAATCATGTCAAAATGATCAGAACATTGTCACCATTGCTGAGATTCACATGCTGATTCTTCATGTCTATGAGGGACAGAACTGAAACCTCTTTATAACCCATCATTCTAAAAGTGGTTTATACAATTTTCTCACATTGTCACGTTGTATCGTAGAGCTGCAATAATACAAAACTCATAAAAGAATAAAGATTTTGATAATATGCAACCAGAGACTCAGACGCATGAAATTATTTTACCATAAGTTCCTTGCCATCACATATGTGCTTTATAAACACTATTGTAACAGCCAAAGACAAACTTATTTTAACTTAAAATTAAAGTCAAAGGTCAAGAGGCAACTAAAGCAAACACTATTCACAAAAATGGTAAGTTGAAAAAAAACATCTAAACATTAATTCTCAATAAAGAACTTCTGTTTTAGATACTCCAGAAATAAAGTCTAACTGGTTAGTAATGTGTGAAGTTGGTTGCTGTTTGTGGAGAGGTCCTTTTTTTCTGAGGTCAAAGGTCTCATGTGGG